GTGTCGCCATTTTGTAGACGACCTACAGCCACATGGCCAGCCGCGCCACTGTCACAACAGCTCAGCCAATCAGATTGCTTGTTATACTTATGGAAGTTCCCAGTACGAGCCACAACATTCTCATTTTTCCTGTTATACTTTATTACGGGTTTATTGTACTGTGTACTGATAAGAGTCACAGCATTCCCATTTTGCTGATTATACTTACTGGAAGTTTATAGTAGAGGTAAGGGCCACAGCATCACCATTCGGAGATAGCACAGAAAGATGCGAGGTTCCGTAGTCCTCCTCAAAATGAAAGTTTCCGCGGTAATACGAAGCGTTGCTGTGGGTTTGGTTGTCCCAAATCTTCTGTCTCAAGATCTCGGCAAAAGTTTCGTTCGTCATCTTGGCGACTGTCTGCAAAACATGTAAAGGAAGTGTCAGTGAAAATACACGACTCCCAGCAAGAGAGGATAAACCTCATCCAATGAAGGGCAAGAGATTTAATCTCCAGGCTAGGGAGGGGAGCGGTGGGAGGCCCGGTGGCCTCATGGTTAGTGCGCTCGACTCCGGAGCCCTGGCCAGGGACATTGTGTTGTGTTCTTGGGCAAGACCTTTACTCTCACAGTGCCTCTCTCCATCCAAGTATATAAATGGGTTCCGGCGAACTTAATGCTGGGGGTAACCCTCCGATGGACTAGCATCCCATCCAGGGGGGAGTAGAAATACTCCTAGTCGCTTCGTGCTACTGAAACCGGGATAAGCTCCGGCCTGATGGGCCACATGGCTCGTATGCAGACTTTACCTTTAGCCATCGGCCTTATTCTCAAGTTAGTCCCTCTCGAGTTATTTTTTGATTTAGTACCCAGTTCTTTCGCGGCTAATTTTACCACTCGCGCTGAGTGGATGTTTTCGTGATAGATGAAAATTCGTCCAAAACCGTACGAGCTGTCCACGTGAGCAAAAAGCGCGTCAAAGGATTGATTTCTCTGAAGTTTTTTTCCCCGAACTCGGTAATTTGAACCTCCTTCTAACTCGAAGTCATCTCGTATCTCTTCAGGCCATTTTCTTTAGAAATTTACCCTCGATAACTCGAACCTCATTCGTCAATAATGTGTTCAAAGCTCTCCAGAATCATAGAAGTGAACTGGCTGTAAGGCGTCATATTCAGTTTGCGGAAATTTATTGCCGTGGAGAAAAAAAGTTTACATTACATTGCATCAAGAAGATAAACAGAGTTAAATCCTTCATATAGACCTTATTCCTGAAGGAATCCCTCTCAAGTTATTTTCAAGATGATTTCTGGTTTGAGAAATCCCAATCCTGGCCTGTGACAAACACGATTTAGCTCACACGGTCAGTCCAATTCAACTCAATTCAATTTTATTTTATTTTCTTACATAGTTACAAAAATTGCTTGCCCCAGCAACTAGTAAGAAAAGACAAAGAGGAGAAAAAGACACGCATTTTCATCTTCAACAAAGCGTCTATGCAACGCGCATGATAACATCCGCGAAAGAACTGGGTACATGTCTTAAAATAGCTCAAGAGGGATTACCTGGGGTATAAGTCTATACGTTGGGGATTCACTGTGTTACTCTTTATCCTCTCCTAATTACATGTCTATCGTAAAGTGTATACATATATATTAAGGACTGAGCTTGTTTTTATGAGGGTCTTTTTTTCCGGGAGAGGAGAGTTGTGTGCTTTGAAAATGGTCAGGTTATATTTAAAGAAATATTTCTCAAAATCATTAATAATTCATCAAGTTAAAACAAAGAAAATAACAACCGTCAAGGAGGTTTGAATACCTGGTCTTAATTAGCATAGATTTTCACGATTTTACTTCTCCATTTACTCCTTAGTTTTTGTTTCGATTGAGAAGATATATTATAAACTTGACACAGTGTTTCATCGGCTATCCAAACACCTCGAATGTCGTCAAAAAATACTCCGCTGCGAATGGTATTTTCAACTCTCTTCTCGGTGTTTGGATATCCGATGCAACACTGTCTATTGTGTTTGATATATTACATGAAACACGAAATACAGTGTTTGACCACATTTTCAAAGACCGAGAGGAGAGTTGAAAATTCGACGCGTAGCGGAGTATTTTTTGACGAAATTCGAGGTGTTTGGGTAGCCGACGAAACACTGTCTCGAGTGTTTAATATATCTTCTCAATCGCAACTAAAACTAAGGAGAAAACGGAAATCAAAATCGTAAAAATCTATGCTAGTTAAGATCATACATCTAAACACCGTCACGGTCATAATTTCCTTTGTTTAAACTTGATGATTTCCCTCTGTTGTGACTCTATTACCTCGTTCATACCATCATTAAAGGCCGGGTCGCCAAGGAGTGATCGCCACGAATAACCAAACTTGAAAGCCTCGATTACACGATGAAACGTCAAAGGAGAATCACGTGACTCTGCTGTCATGTTGTAACCTGTGACAAGAGAGAACCCGCATCAGTGCATGTATAACTGATATCGATCTTTGTCGCATGGCAAGAAAACAAGTTGCATACATATGGCCTGTGTCGCATGACTCTGTGGACATGTATTGAACGGAATTAAGTAGAGAGACAAGTGTTGGAGTAGGCGCGGTGGTGAGAGCGCTCGCCTTCCACCAATGTGGCCTGGGTTCGATTCTGGCCCGGTGCCATATGTGGGTTGAGTTTGTTGTTGGTTCTCGCCGAAGGGGGGTGGGGGTGAGTGGGGCTTGTTTCGGTCAACAAACAGCTTGCGCTAAAGCTCCTTAAATTACAAATTGTACGCTCGCCAGAACAAATCGCTGCATTAATTCTAACAAATCAGTTGTAGGATTAATTGTTATTTATAACAAATTATGGGGATGCTACATCCCCACATATACTTATCTACACAAAAACAAACCTTTAAGAATGTTCAATATGAGAGTTATCACTGGCCCGCTTGCCGGTGGCGGGGCCGTATACCATGTCATATCACCCAGCTGGTTAACTAGGGCCTTCCTTCTGATGACTTTGTAGTCTCTCAGGTCCTGCGAGGTGACGATCCCGCCGCGTCTTCTGATGTCCCGAACGATCTTCGTTGCCAACGATCCGTTGTAGAAGCTCTCGGGATGATCCCGTATCTCCTCGAGGGATTTCGCGTATTGTGGGTTAGTGATATTGTCTCCAAACTGTCTGAGGTTTCCTTTCTTATCGAACAATAACTCTCTAAAAAACAAACAAATAAACAAACTAAATTATATTGTAATGATTCCATTCATAGCCTGCGTAACAAGCGTTCCCGTACAAAGAGATTTTCCGCATTCTGGCCGCGCCTAAATTGGAGCGAGAGCAAAAATTCGACGAAGCAGGGGGTGGTGGGGCGAGAGAGGAAAAGCCCTTTGTACGGGGACGCGCGCTTGCTACGAAGGCTATTCCATGCAGTGCCCACATTCCAGTGAATCTCTCCTCGATATTAAACGCTTCCCATATCGAGGGTGTTTTTTTTGTAAGCGTCCCATACTCTTATTTCAATCAGTGAACTTCTCAACAACTTCTCGTCCAATATCGGTACCTAGCGCTCTGAGTTTGGACGGGTTTTGAATAGTAAAGGATTTGTATTTCCTCAAAAGCTCTCTGTCCCCAATAGGCGCCCTTCCTGTGGTACCAAAAATAAATGAACGCTAAATATTGCAATTTTGCACTAAATTAAGCGGCTGTAAGGTTTTGGAATTTATTGATGGAAAATTAATAGACTCACTTCAACCCTGGATCTTTCCTGATGTCATTTTCTGATTGAACCATTGTCTTGTAAAGCGCTTGGTTTATAAGGAAGCCATACTTAGCCTTATCGATCGCCGGTTGAACCAGCTGTTTCCATGGTAACCGTCCATACGATAGCCAGGCTGTGTAGTAACCGCGCACCTCCCCTGGGACGCCTGTGGCTAATGTGCCTAAGAAACAAGAAACCCAAGCAATCAAACGTCACGCAATGAAACCTCAATGACATATTAGGTCACTAGGGTAGTAAAACACCCAAATGGTAACAGTAAGCTAAAAGGATCGTGGCTTAAGGTAACGTGATTCAAATGGTCCCAAGTCACTCGCCGTCACTCCACCTTACTCACTGTTCAGTTCTTTGTAACTTGCGTTTTTAAACATGTCTTCCGTAGCTTTGGCTGGAGCACTTTCTCTGAAGTCGAACACCTCAGCGACTCGGTCTCTACGATTGTAAACGAGCATAAATCCACCGCCTCCGATCCCCGTCGAGTGCATATTGATTACCCCTACACATAGCATCGCAGCAATGGCCGAATCCACGGCCGAACCGTTTTCTTGAAGAATGTTCTTTCCGATGTGCGAACACGGTCCCGCGTCGGATGCCACGCTCGCGTGCTTGTACGGCCCGCCAAGCGAGTCGGGATACCCGGGAGGGCTGATCTCGTGCAAAGGGTTCCTGGTGAACCAGTAAGCGAGAAAGATGCCGATGGCGACCACAATCGCGACAAAAGCAACAACAAGAGCAATTGCCCACAATCGTTTTCTCTTGATGTCCGATTCAGAGCCAGACATTCTGTGAAGAAACAACAAACACAGCTAAATGAGCTGCCACTCCCACGAACATGGTAGTGGTGAGAACGTGCTGGTGAAGGCTAGCCGCAGATCATATTTCACAAAAAAAGGGAGATTGTTTCTTTTTAATTTAAACTAAAACAAAATTCACTCATGTGATTGGCTAATATGCGACAGTGTACGCGTCATGCATATTATCTCATGTTATGGATATGGACGGTAACAGTGTGCGCGCCACATCTGTTATTTAGAAGG